ATAAATTTACATGTGCCACCGGGGGGAGGCCCCAGGGAAGACACAGGACACACTGGAGAGACTATGTTTCTCGGCTGGCCTGGGAACGCCTTGGGGTTCCTCCTGAAGAGCTGGAAGAAGTGGCTGGGGAGAGGGAAGTCTGGGCCTCCCTTCTTAAGCTGCTGCCCCTGCGACCCGACCCCGGATAAGCGGAGGAAGATGGATGGATGGATGCATTTTTGTTTATATTCTCTTTATTTAAAGTGACAAAAGTCTCATTGTCAAATTCCAGAGCTCTAATATAATAATAGATAAATGCAGCCTCTACCCTTTACTATCAGCAGTAGATTACCACTGGATGACCTTAATGATCTAGGTGGGACCAAGCAGGTAGTCACTAAGGTATGGGGACCAAGGCAATGAAGACCTAATAACCACTAAAATCTTCACATAATTGTAGAGAATGCCATTGGAATGATTTGAGAACCAGAGTAACATGGCCGCCTTTCTGTGTGTTAAAATGAAGCTTAAAGTAATCAGACCTGGTTCAGAAGTATGAAGCTAAAGCACTGACAGCTAACATTGACTCTAAAAAGAGATTTGGCATTATGAAGTTTAACATCATAAAATCCAACAATGTTTTTAAAACAAACAGCTTATTAACTATGAAAAGAAACAATGAAGCTGATAATATTATGATGTTTCTCTCTTTTTAAGTTGAACTTTATGTCTTTAATATCAAGAGCTTTCAGAGTTGCTGCAGATTTCTATGGCCCCTCATAACTTTAAGTTAAGTTATGGTCTTTAATTTGCATATACTGATATATTTAGCTAGAAAAGAAAATAATGATATATTGAATAACAGAACTTTTAAGCCCCTTCTACACTCACAAAGTTACTCAGTAATTTACTGGTAATTCTGTTAGACTAATTTTTCTGATTTTCGGATTAATTACTGGGATTAATTTGTAGGTGTTATGACTCCTAACTTTGACAATTCTGGCAACAAACTGCTATAGAGCAAGCTGACAGAACAGAAAAAGACTTTTGAATATCCAATCGTTTTCATAAAAATTACCAGTAAGCAAAAGTCTGTTTGCCTCTGATTTAAGCTGGTTTTGTGGTTGTCATGACCCAGATGACTGAGAATTTGCACAGCTACTTCTAAGTTAAGATTTCAGATTTTGCTGCACTCACAGTTAATTAGGCTATGCTATGATAATAAAGTGTAAGATATTTGAGCTTTACAAAGCGACATTCCTACCTAAAAATAAAATATGTAAGTTCATATTGATACAGGAAAAGCATTTTTTTTTTTTACAGTTTATTCACAAGTTTTGTCACTGTTGTCCACCTTGGCCGTCTGCTATTGCTGCCCCTGGCTGACTAATCCACTTTAATTTGCAAGGAATCATGGGATAAGTTATGACTTAAAGGAATTTTGGTGAAAAAATGACAGAATCAGCCTAGAATGGCTGCCTTCAAACAATGCAGCCCCTGAATATAGACATACACTTAAACTAATGGACTGCAGGTAGATGAGAGGAAGCCAATAAAACCTTCAGATAAACTCTGCCAAATCTGAGCAGATTGTAAATATAATGGACAGCATTATTGGTGAAATGCAAATTGTTGAAAAATAATCAACATTTAAAACACAAGGATCCTTGAATGAACAGAGATAAACTGACCTGCAGACCAGACAAACTTTGGTTCACTGTATTTAGTGTAAAACACTGGTTCTCCTCTTCTTGCTCTGCACACATATCCTGCTGTGTGATTCTGTCCATTAATGAGGTAGGAGTTCTGTTCAATCCAGTTGGTTCTGCCAGTCAGCAGCTCTAAGCTGTAGGAGCTGCTGGAATTTGCTGGAACCACTTTATACCAGAAGAACCTCCATCCTGCAGATGGATGCTCCAACCCCCCACAGCTCAGAATCACTGAGGCTCCAGGACTCAGCCATGATGGAGACACAGAGAGGACAGGCTGAGGTTTATCTGATGGAGACACAGAGAGGACAGGNTGATTATCTAAAACAAATTATTGAACTTCGCAATAATTAGTTTCTTCTCATTATATTTTTTAATAAACCATGAAAGAAACATTGAAGACAAAACTAAGGTTTAAATGTAACTTCTTTCCAGAAAGGGACGTATTGTGAGAGATGATGTTTTCATTTTCTGTCTTCGTCTTATGAAGTTGCAACTCTTCTATTTTTTATATTTCTCCTCTATTGATCTATTTTAAAATATATTTCAGGTTCTCTGTTCTATAGGGAGATGAATTATCTATCATTTTGGCCAAAAACTGCCTTGGAGCAAACATTTAATTAAACACATGAAGCCACATGTTGGAAAAACAGGAAGGTGAAAGAAGGAAGCTCAGCTGAAGGATTTTGAATGAAGAAAATATTTTACCTCCTTATTTCTTAACTTCCAATTTTTCTTGGAGAGCAAATACAACATATCAGTCTCTGGATATTAATGTTATGTTCACAGTAACTGAAGCTTTTACAGTATGTGGAAACACAGGAAAAGGTTAAAGGAAATATCATCAATCATAACCTACCCTGAACAGTGATGTTGACTGCGTTGCTAAAATCTCCTGATCCAGACTCACACCAGTACACTCCACTGTGAGACCAGTCTGTGTTTATAGAACATGAGGATCCAGTCATTGTCCCCCAGTTGGAGCAGTGAATGTCTGATAGTCCACCTGTTTCTGTAAACCTCCTCAATTTCCACTCAGTGTTGTTCCCACTACAGTTCAGAGTGACAGACTGATTGATAAAATGTTGAACTCTGTCTGGAGTCACTGAGAGAGAAGCAGCTGGATGAGAGTCTGAAAATAAATAAACAAATAAAATGATGGTAAAATAATTGCATTGCCTCTTTTTAACAGTCATGTTGAAGAATGTGCTCTAATTTATTGGGACTTTAAAAAGATGTAATTTACAGAAAAATAAACATCAAAGGGGCCTAATCACCTTCTATAGCAAAGACCCTAAACCTCAGATATTCACGTCAAAACAAAGCAATACACACTGCATGAAAAGTGGGATTTTCGTCAATATGTGGCACTGTAGATTGTCGTGGAACTTCAGGTTAGCAGCAGTTTACGACAATTTGCAGGCTTCACCGAAAACTCACGTAAATTGTCAGAAATTGATGTGGACTTTGTTAGGCAGTGTTCCCCCCATGCCTCCCCCCCATGGAATTCTAGGGGAGGCTTTAACATGTAAATGAACATGCTTTGAGCTATACAAATGCAAACCAGGGTTGCAGGGGGGGTTTTACTAGGTAAGAATACAAAGAGATCAGGTATAGCCTCTTACATTTTAGCTTGAATTGATTT